TAGAAAGTAGCAATAGATAGTTATCTTAGCATTAGCCAACTAGTATAAATAGACGACTATGTCTATTGTAAACATGTGCGTTAAAAAAGAAAAACCTTTGAAGCTCAAAGTCGTTCTTTGAATGCTCTTCGTAAAATCACTATAATTTGGTTATTCATAACTAGAATATTAGTGTTATTGAGAGATCTGGAATCAACAATTGGTATCAGAGCCTATTGATTGATTATCCAATCAAACGATCAATTCAAATCTCTCAATATTTTAATCTTCCTTCTCATAAAAAAAACTCTTTCTTCTCCTCGAAAATCTTTCAATGGGCAACTAGAATTCAGCATTCAATGTTGGCTCCCTCACAAAGCCGCCAACTCTTCAAAGAGAGGAATATCCTCAATGGAAAATCAGAATGGTAAACTTTCTGGAGGGTATGGACAGGAATCTCCTRCGATCCATACAGGAGGGTCCTTACATCCCTCAAACTCTAGTTCCAAGAGTTCCAGGAACAAGTACCATAGCTGAAATTCCAGCATATTACATGCCAAAAGAGGAAAGAAATTGGGACGACGATGATAAAGAAAAAGTCGAAACCGAYAGAAAGGCCAAAAGACTGATAATCATGGCCCTGCCCAATGAAATCTTTCAATCCCTTGATACATGCTCCATTGCGAAAGAACTCTGGGACAAATTGGCAAGTCAACTGGAAGGAGGAGCAAAGACGAAGAAAAATCGTAGAGGACAATGTCTCAACAATTACACCAATTTCAAAGCCCTCCCTGATGAACCCATACAAAAGACCTATGACCGTTTCAACACATTGATAAATCAATGTCGTAGAAACGATATCATGAGAACCAAGGAAGAAAACAATGTTTTATTBYKDAAAAGTCTAGGCGATGAATGGACTCAGCTATCCATGTCTCTACAAGCAAACAAAGACTTAGATGGCTGGTCTCTTCATGATGTGTATGGAACCCTTCCAGCGCAAGAGAGCGACATAATGAAGAAGAAGGTATCCATTGGAGGA